GTGCTGTGTGCCTCCAGCCCAACCCTTCGCTCCACGGCTTCCTCCTTCTCTACCCACTCTTCCTCCTCATTTCTACCTTCTCTCTCCCTCTCTTATTTTTACAACCTAAATTTTAAATCACACACAAGTATTTTTTCTTAACCCCTAGTGTACAATGTAAGAATATACTAGTCCCTTTCACATAGAATGCTATTGGAGATGTAAATGAAATCGCAAGTTATCTGCTATTTCACGTAAATACCTGGTTTGGTTGATTTTGGGTTTCTGGCTTAGTTTTTTCAGTTACAGGACTTGAACTGAGGCCCTGCATGCTGTCCCTGAGCTCTTTCACTCAAGGCGAGCATTCTACCACTTGAGCCACAGCACCACTTCCAGTTTTCTGGTGGTTAATTGGAGATAAGAGTCTCACAGACTTTCCTGCACAGGCTGGCTTTGAACCACGATCCTCAGATCTCAGCCTCCTGAGTAGCTGGGATGACAGGTGTGACTCACGGTGCCTGGCTCCTGGTTTGGTTTTGTATTGATGAACTTATCCCTGCTGAGTGATACCCCCAGGTGAGTTGGCAGAGGATACAGAGCATCAGGCCTGCCTCTCCTGGTCCTGACAGGACAGAGTGCATGAGGACATCCCCAGCAAACAACTTGATTTCAGGTGGAAAATCTCAACACAGAACCAAAAGCAATGTGAAAAGGGACCATGGCAACACCAAAGGTCTGTGCCAACCTAAAGAGCCAACACTTGAATGAAATCCTAAACGCTGAATTCACAAGAATGATGATGAGAATAATTAACTAAAGTAGATGGAATATCCAAAAGCATGGCTCTGTGGCAAAGCACCTACCCAAGAACCACCAAAATAAGTAAACTCAAGAGGACATGTTAGCCAGGCAATGGTAGCTTATACATGTATTTTTAGCTACTCAGCTGAAAATTGGAGGTTTATGATTTAAAGCTAGAACAGGCAGAAAATTCTGTAAGATGCTATTTCCAATAAATCAGTGAAAGATACCAAACTGGAAACACAGCTCACACCAGCCATGAGCACAAATGCTGAACCAGAGGCAGAGAACCTGAGTTTAAGCTCCAAAAGTGGCGTGCGCGCGCGCACGCACACACACAGACACACACACACACAGACACACACACACACACAGAGGAGATACATATACACATCATATAAATTATAAGTAAATGGCTAAACAAATTCAGAGGATACAATTAAGCAGGTAAATGATATAAAGAAAGCAATGCAAACTATCATAGGACCATTCAATAAAGACACAGATAATCTAAAAAATAACATTGACATTCTGGAAGCAAAAATTTGAAAAGCCAAATGGAAACTCAGCTGAATCTCCTTTCAGTAGATTACAGCGAAGGGAACACAGCTAAAGCAGATCTAAAAGAAAAATCTGATGAAAATAAAGAAGCCAACGAATTACAAGACAGGGGAAGACACTTTTAAAAGACCAAACCTGTGAATCATGGGGATAGAAGCAAAGAGATGCTAGCTAAAGGCATAAGAAAAGCATTCTGTAAAGTGCAAAAAGCCTCCAAAACCTTGCAAAAGAGGTCATGCAGGTGTAGGAGGCCTTTAGAACTGACAACAGACATGCCCAGAATGCATCCTCTCCACATCATAGGATAGCTCAAACACGAAGGATAGAGGAGGAAGAATGGTGAAAGCTGTAAGAGAGAAGCTTCAAGTAATCTACAGCAACCAATCCGAATAGCTGCAGATGGTCCAATAGACTACAGCAACCAATCCGAATAGCTGCAGATTGTCCAACAGAAGCTTCAAGTAATCTACAGCAACCAATCCGAATAGCTGCAGATTGTCCAACAGAAACGTTAAAGGCAGGAAGGCATGGAACACTATATTTTTAGGCTCTGAAAGAAAATAGCTGCCATCCTAGATTACTGTAACCAACAAAGCTATCATTTATAACTGAAGAAGAAATAAAGGCTTCCCTGATCATGAACAGACATCAGCTCATGGCCATGAAACGAGACACTCGAGGAGCTCCATGCTCAGAAAGGAAGGTGAGCGTGACGGCGGGAGCATGGGGGACAGATCGCACCAGATGAGCGGACGAGCAAGTGGGACGTAGAGAAGAATCAAACAGGACCAACTCAACAGCTGCTACAATCACCACGTCGCTTTCCAAAGCCACAATGCATGTCAGCGGTCTCACATCAATCAAAAATGCAGGTCAGCACACTGAATTAAAAGGTAAATTTTGTTGCCCACAAGAAAGACACCTCACTGACTAAAACAAAGACAAGCTTAAAGTGAAAGGATTAAAAATCACTTTTCACCAGGCGCCAGTGGCTCACGCCTGTAATCCTAGCTCCTCAGAAGGCTGAGATCTGAGGATCGCAGTTTGAAGCCAGACCAAGCAGGAAAGTCTGTGAGACTTTTATCTCAATTACCTGCCAAAAAAGCCAGAAGTGGAATTGTGACTCAAGTGGTAGAGTGCTTGCCATTAGCACAAAAGCTCAGGGACAGTGCCCAGGCCCTGAGTTCAAGCCCCAGGACTAGCACAGTGGCATGTGTACACATACAAGTACACACCACACACACATACACACACACACACACACACATACAGATTTTCCAAGCAAATGCAAGCTAACACATTGTTTCTTCTGTAACTGATTCCTACCGCCCAATGTCAGAATCCAAGAGTCCCCAGAGAGTCAGAAGCAGAGGTTCGAGGTCCACTTCTGCTGGCAGTGGAAGTGGTCCTGGGTTGAACCCAGGACCTGTGCACGTCCTGTCGGGTTTAACTCTCCATGGTGGCAGATGGAGTCAGCTCCATCATGACGGTCTATCATCTGTCTCCATGGGCAGATAAAGCCCTGTCCTCAGCCACTGAGGGAGGGGAGGGGCCTCCCTGGCACCGAGCTGGGCAGCCGAACCCAGAGTCCAGGCCTGGCAGCTGCACAGACATCCAGCCCAGCTCTCCCACATAGGAGTCCTTCCCCCACTAGCTCTAACCCCAGGGCTGTCCTCCCCCTCACTCTAACCCCAGGGCTCCCCTCCCCCACCCCCACCCCTCTGTCCAGCAGCCGTCCTCCCCCCTCCCCTCCCCTCTGTCCAGCAGCCGTCCTCCCCTCCCCCCTCTGTCCAGCAGCCATCCTCCCCTCCCCCACCCCCACCCCTCTGTCCAGCAGCCGTCCTCCCCCCTCCCCTCCCCTCTGTCCAGCAGCCGTCCTCCCCCTCCCCCCTCTGTCCAGCAGCCGTCCTCCCCTCCCCCACCCCCACCCCTCTGTCCAGCAGCCGTCCTCCCCCTCCCCTCCCCTCTGTCCAGCAGCCGTCCTCCCCCCCTCGCCTCCCCTCTGTCCAGCAGCCGTCCTCCCCCCTCCCCTCCCCTCTGTCCAGCAGCCATCCTCCCCCCTCCCCTCCCCTCTGTCCAGCAGCCGTCCTCCCCTCCCCTCCCCTCTGTCCAGCAGCCATCCTCCCCTCCCCTCCCCTCTGTCCAGCAGCCGTCCTCCCCCCTCCCCTCCCCTCTGTCCAGCAGCCGTCCTCCCCTCCCCTCCCCTCTGTCCAGCAGCCGTCCTCCCCTCCCCTCCCCTCCCCTCTGTCCAGCGGCCGTGCTCCCCTCCCCTCTGTCCAGCAGCCGTCCTCCCCTCCCCTCCCCTCTGTCCAGCAGCCGTCCTCCCCTCCCCTCCCCTCCCCTCTGTCCAGCAGCCGTGCTCCCCTCCCCTCTGTCCAGCAGCCATGCTCCCCTCCCCTCTGTCCAGCAGCCATGCTCCCCTTCCCTCTGGGATGCATCTGTACAAATCCTGGCAGTGAGAAAATACCTGAGCCCCTTCTTGGTGGAGTCCCGACCGCCCCGTCACCCAGAGGAAGCCCCCGCTGCCCGAGAGCTGTCCACAGAACTTGCTGAGACGCTGGGACGGCGACCTCCAAACGCCCTTCCTTGTGACTGGAGGAAGCCCAGGGCGGCCAGCGGGCAAATCCGCGGCGTGCCCGTGTGCCCCGCACTCGGCTGCCGGCTCACCGAATCCAGCTGTGCTGTGCTTGTGAGTGGATTCTCTGTGCGGGGGCCTCACTAACCCCAGGAGCTCCCCGCCCCACTGGGGCTGCACACAGGGGGAGCCGGGCGTGAGCGGCTTTTCCTGTGTGAGCAGAGCCTCACAAACAAGTTCAGCCAAGGGGAGGGAACATTAAAAATGTGAGGAATTAAAGCTGGAAACCAATGACTGTAATCCATTACTCGGGGGACTGAGACCTGAGAACTGAGGTTCAAAGCCAGCCCGGACAGAACAGCCATAAGACTCTTGTCTCTAATCAGCAAAAATCCAGAAGAGGGTCTGAGGCTCAACTGGTAGAGCATCAGCCTTGAGTGAAGAAGTCACACAAGAGTGTGAAGCCCTGAGTTCAAACCCCAGGACAGGCACAAAAAGACCAAAGACAGGAATTAACACGGGACTTCAGCCCGTGCCAGCCAGGATGACCAGAGACGTTCGGAAAGAAGTCCTTGTTCAGTGGATGGGAGACAGACCGCCGGGGCGGGCCCCTCTGAGGGGTGCTAGGCAAAACTCTGAGACTGCAAGAGGCCACTGGAGCTGGAAACTGGACGGTCACTGGCCCAGGGGTGCAGTGCACCGCAGGGCCTGTGATAAGCAGGAGGAGGAAGCACTGTGGGGGCCCCGGGCTGCTGGCCGAGCCCTGCCACCGACGGTGGCTGACAACCCCCCCCAGAACAGTGATCCGGGAGGAAGGGGCACCCGTGGGACAGTGCAGAGCCCTCGGGCCTGCAGGGCAAAGAGGAAGCCGCCTCATCGCCACAGAAAACACGGGTAAGATTAAAGCGTGGCTGCTGCCAAGCCTCCTGGGTTTCCTCAGCGCAAGGCTCAAGTGAACACCAGGGCCGTCAAGAGAGAAAAACCAAGAAAGACCGCCAGGGCTGTGCGGCCTGCCCACCCAGAGGCCCCCAGGAGCCCACACAGCCAGGCTGTCCCGGGAGGACGCCCAGCCGGAGCTGCCGGCATGAACATGGAGAGGAACCGTGTGCTGCCGGACACGCCCTACCCCCAGCCCGGCCTCCAGTGCGCCTCCTTCCCATGTGTGAGGCCCAGCCCTGCCCCTCAGACCCCACACACTGCACGGCCTGGAGACCCACCCACACCGAAAGGATGCCAGCCCCCCCCAATCACCTTCCACAGCCAGCCCGACCACGCCCCGACCTCCCGCCAGGAGTCACAGCCGGGAAGTCCCAGGCAAGGCCCTCCGTCCCGTGCGGTCAGCGGGCCCCGCCCTTTCCTCACACACACCCCCTCCCCAGTCCTTTACCTCAAGGAGCTACAGGCACAATGGCACACCCCAGGTTTCAACAAGGCCCCAGGGGACAGAAAGCGGCAGAGAAGGGAGTCGGTTTTCCTGTCAATCCTGGCATGGCGTCTCAGAAGAACATTCAGTTAGCGGAACTTGCCGCTGGGGCAATTATCATGGGTCATCCTGCGGGAGACGGGACAGGAGGATGGGGGGCGGGGGGGGGTAGCCTGCAGGGACACTGGCACTGGGCCCACGTACACAAGCAGGAACCCCAAACAATGCCTCCCACGGTGCCCGTGGGGGCGGAGCAAGCCAGGGCACCGTGTTCCTGCCAGAGACTGGCGGGAGCTTCTTCATTGACACACAGCAGTTGCCCGTGAGCCGCTTCGTGACATGTGTGCGATACGACATGGCAGCGTGGAGGTGGGCAGCGCCGCCCCACCATCGTCCCTGCTGCTTGGCGTCTGAAGCCTCCCATAGCTCATTGGTTGCCAACCGCAGAATCTCACTAACGTATATCTCACTTAAGATAGATGGTGCTGTCCCCAAGGAGTAACCTGGCCAGCTGTCAGAGAAACAGGCTGGATGCTGGACAGGCGGCCATGCCTGGTTAATAAGTGACCACAGGGCACTTGGTCCCCACAGACACACAGCGTCCCACGCTGTGCTGGGAAGCGGCGTCGGTGCACAGCGCTGCGCATCCACGAATGCAGGGCCTCAAGACGCAATTGAGGGGAATAAAGACAGAAAAAAGCCGATTGGAGGGTTTGGGCAAATTCAATTATTCTAATAAGATGTCTCTGAGAATTCTATTTGCCACCAGCCCCAAACCTGACCATTAATTAAGTTATTCCACTAAACAGGAAAAAAAGAAATGACCTCTAACTTTGTGTTGAGTGCCACTTTGTAACCTTCAGTCCCTTTGCTCCAACTTTGGCTCCCAGGGCATAAGCCTGCAATTAACAACTTGGTTATTGCCTCTGCAACAGTAATTGCCCTGCTTAGCCTGGAGCTAGAAAGAATGAAAAGTCGTTTCTCCCGGCCCCGCCCCTCCCACAAGGCCACCGTCACCACGACTTCACCTTTCAGGAAAGCCTGGCGCGCAGGGCAGCTGCCGCGGTGCTCGGGACGCAGTCCACAGCCATGCTGTCATGGCTCCCCTGCTCCCTCGCAGAGCAGGGCGTCGGGAAAGCACACAGGCCGGCAGAGATTAGATTATCAATTATCACAAAGCTGTCTGGACTTCAAAGGGCTCCTCTCTGGGAAAGCTCAGCTTATCCAGCCTCGTGCCGCTGCTGCGGTCTCCGTGTCACCCAGACGCAAAGCAGCGGGGCGCTAGCTCCGGTCTGGGGGAGGAAAACAGAAAAGCAACGTTTTCCTTGGAACAGGAGCCATCAGCTTTCGAGCGGAGGCAGACACTAAGCAGGGTCCGCAGAGGTGACCACAGCAACGTTCACTCTCCCCACCACATCCCGGCAGCCCATTCCCAGGGGCCAGCACCGCCCTCCTTCCTCTCGGACACCCCACCTCCACCCAGGTCAACAGGCGGTTAACGGTCACGCATGGTTCCTGAAGACACAAGACATTTGGGCCCTGCCATCCCCAAGGGGAGCCAGGGGGAGGAAAATCGCAAAACTTCCTGGTTGGAGTTTAAGGGACCTTTTTTTTTTTTTTGCTTAGTTTGGGACTTTTCCAGTGGGATTAATGAGACTTCAATTGGCCCCACAATATCTTAGAATTACTCAGACCAATGGAAAATGAATGTAATGTTTATCAATAAAGAGAAAAGTCCTCTGGCTAAAAAGATACCGAGTATAAAAACAATTACATTCTCATGTGGTCACAAGACCAGTTAATGTGCAACTCTCGGGCCATAGGCTCCAAACCAGAACAAAATGCACACGGCCGGCCCCGTGGGAGCTCGCTCAGAGAGGCCGTGCAGGAGGGCTGGACTGTCACCAGCCCTCGGTGACAGTCCCGGCACTAAGGCCGTCCCTGCAGAAGCACCACGGAGCAGCCCCGGCCCTGCAGGCCTCTTTATCAGCCTCTCCTTCCTCTGAGCAGACACCCAGAGTCCCAGCATGGCCCTCTTGGTCCATGTTGGCTGACTTAAACTCCAGGTCATTTTAATACCACAGCCAAGGACCAAGTCCTCCATACACTTTTATTCTGTCCCAATATCCACCTCTTCAGCCCTCTCTCGGTATGTCAACATAGCCTGAGTCTGTAGGATGCAGTGGATTAATTTTCCTCCCTCATTTTCCACAAGGGGCTTGAGGGAAGGTAAAAATATCATTTGCTGACTGAAGAAAATGGCATTTGATAATGGCAAAGCAAACTGAGGAAGGGTCTGTCGATGTTCCGTTCAGACTGAGGAAGGGTCTGTCGATGCTCCGTTCAGATCCTCTGCAGTCCCAGCACACACAAGCAATCGACGTCCCTCCTTCGAGTCTTTATTCTGAGTCCTTTGACGTGCTGACATCATACCACTCTTGCCGTTGTAATTCTCCTTTTCCTAAACTTTTGGTTCTGTGCGTTTTTGTGACTGAGGCACGCCTGCAGGCGTGTTCAGAGAGCGACACAAGTCCTTCTTTAGCAGGTGGTATTTTCCTCCCTGCTTTGGGCATGCTGGTCTGTGGCGCGGCGGGCTTCCCGGGAGGGGGCTGCTCTGCTGAGGCTGGGCCCCGGGTCCCCAGCTCCACACACAGTAGGCGGCGGGGCTGGCGCCCGGCGCAGGCCTGGCACCGGCTCTCTGCCCGTGGCCACCCGGCAGCCGCAGGTGCTGGCTGGGTCCGTGTATCCCCGCCCGCCTCCAGACTGTCTCCAAGGTTTCAAATGGTTCCAGGGCCGCGCTGCTCACATCGCTCTCCAACAGATCTGATTTCCTTCCACCACTCAGAGTGCATTGGAGCCCCTGGGCCACAGCCAAGTTGGCTTCCTTTACTTCCTGTTGCTGCGGTTAGTGCAGGGGGCGGGGGGCAGGGGGGACAAAAGCCAAGGACCCAGGTGTTCTAGAAAACAAAGAACAAACCACCAAAGCATCCTTCAAGTAAAGGCTGGCGCTACCACTGAGGCCCAGGGGACGGCGTTCGGCCTCCTCCGACGGTAGAGGAACAGCAACCTATCAGGAACAATAGCCGAACCCAGACAAGCCGTGGGTGGCGGGCTGTGGGCTGGGGCCAGCAACAAGCTGGCTCTCCATGGTGGCCGCCCAGTCTCCCCCACCAGAGGAAGAGGTTGGCAGGGGCCGCGAAATGATGCCTCTCACTTCAGAGTAGTGGTAATTCCAGCTTGGGAGAGAGGCAGCCAGCTGGAGGAAAGTGCAGAGAGGCGTTTGCTGACGCCGCTCGGTTACTGTGTGCCCCGAGAATCTCAGCCCACAAAGTCCTCCTCACGGGAGGAAACATCACAGAAGCCACCATCCAAGGGTCACGAATTGGCGCCTTGGTTAGTTTTAAGGCAAAAAAAAAAAAAACAACATACCCCCACAGATGGGTTTTCCTGTCCACTCAGACATGAGGGTGCGGGCTCGCGGAGAGACACCTCCATTTTCTTCAGGCCCTCACTGCTCAGCCCGCACAGCGCCCCCAACGGTGGGGCTCCCGGGCCCCACACCCAGCCCGCTCCCTGCACCGAGCTTTTTGCTACTTATTAATGAGTCAAATTGCCAGTCCAGACAAGCGACAGAAGCATGACGTGCCAAGCTGGAAATGTGTGGCTTTTATGTGTGTGCTTCTTTGAGATAATGAAACGATACGTAATCTTGAATTATGTCATGATGTATAAGGCTGTGATTTCCTGGAAAATGTGGGCTAATCAGTTATTCATTTAGGAATTAACGAGAGCATCAATTGTCAGATTAAACTCCTTTAAAATTCTCCAAGTCCTTTTCTTGGCACCGACACGCTAAGTATACTGAGCCCTTTGTGTACATGTAAGCAGGAAAGGGGAGAAGGGTTTCTCATGTGCCAAACGGAAAAAGAAAACAAAAGTATCCTTTGCTTCCGTCATTAGGCAGAGCCCTTGGCGATTTGCCACAGCTGCTGGGGCACCCCCAGCCCACATGTGGGCCCACACGCCAGGCCGGAGCGGCAAGCCCTCCTCGGGGCTCTGCTCAGGCCGGGCAGCCAGCATCCTACGATCGCAGCGTACAGCGCGCCTGAGCACAGGCCGGACAGCTCTGCCTGGCACACGCACGAGCCTCGTCTGGGACCGTGCACATTTTGCTCCCCAGGGCCAGTTTGCCGCTGGACACCAGGGACCTCTCTGTGCCTGGCACTGAGGGAGGTTTCTAGAACACTGAAAGGCTCCAACTCACAGCCTGGGGGCCCAGGGATGGGTGGGAGGGGGTAGAGGAGAAGCAAGGGGAAAGCAGCGGAAATATTTCGGATCCAGATATTTTGCCTTTCCCTTCCCCGGACGCCTACTGTGGTGTTTTAAGAAGGTTTTGTGCTCGGCGTAGAAGCTTGGAAGGTCTCTGTGCCCGCTGCCTGGGCAGGGAGGGAGCTCTCCCACCAAACAGACATCATCCGCGTCTCTCGCTCTGAGGACACAAGCTACGAAGGAGCAGGGACGCAGAAGTGTCTCAGGGAGACGCGAGGACCAGGAGAGCGGTGGGAGACTTCTCCGTGCTTCTCCCTAGAGATGGTCGCCACACTCGCCGACAGCCATGGCTTCCAACCCTCTGTGTCTGTCTCTGTGTGTCTCTGTGTGTCTCTCTCTGCCTCTGTGTCTGTATGTATCTGTGTGTGTCTGTGGGTCTGTGTGTGCAAGGATAAAAGCTGAGGAAATAGCTCTTCATTTGTAGTCACTCTAGGAACTCCTACCTCACAGAAATGTACACAGTCCACCCACCTAAGCACAGAGTAAACATTCAGGAACTTCCACAGAGATACCTTCTCCAACTGACCAAATATGGCTGCGTCCTCCAACCCCCCTTGCTCGGTCTGTGTCTCTGCCTGTGTTCCAGGCCTGTGGCATCTCAGCAGACTGCGCCTGGTACACCCAAAGCCATTTTCCTGCTGAAGCTGGTTGTGAGCGTGGTCTTGAATGTGCTGAGCCCTCTAATGCTGAACGTTGGTAAGGAATGATTGGTCAAGAACCAAAACCAACAGACAGAACGTGTCTAGACATTAGCAGACGTTAATGCTCTGTGTTAGGGGACACGTATTTCACGTCTGCACTGGTTCCAGCGTTGCACTGCACGGAAGCTGTCTCTACATGCTCGAGCCGCTGGCTTAGACAATACAGGTACCGCAACCACTTGCGCTGCAAACAAGCACTGGCAGTGGACGGTGGCTAAGCGGTCGTCTTTGTTTCTGTCTGCACAGACGCCACTGGTGCAGCTGCTGCGGAAGCCAACGCGCTCAATCCAGCCCTCACAGAGGTCAGTCACCCCCACAGCAAGTGCTCACCCCGGAAGGCCAACGTTCTGGACAATGAGCAGACTCTCCCCCCAGCGGGTCCCCCCGAACCACACTCATAAAACGAGAGGTCTCTCTGCTCTCCGCAGATCCCCCCCAAAAGCCTAACTCCACAATGAGCGAGCGCAGTCCCAGCAGAGGGCATGCTGATTTGCAAGCAGTTTCCGAAAGTAACATTTCAGAGGAAGAAAAACGAAGCTAAGTCCTTGGCACTTAAAAAAAAAAAACTTAACCTACATGAAGCTTAAAAAACCAACAACCGAAAAAGACTGCTCTGAAAGCTACTGCACAGGCCTCAGTGCACTCCGTGTTATCATGAAGCAAGTGCAGGCCCTGGGCAGCCGGAGGCATGGCCGCCAGCGCTGGGCACACCGGCCGGGACTGAGCATGCCTCTGGGCAGAGCCAGCCCGCTGGGCCTCCAGGAGACCATGGCTGAACCTCCGCCTCTCAGCCTGGGGACCCAGAAAGCGGCTGCCAGAAGAAAACCAAAAGCACACTGGCACAGCCATCGCAGTCGCCCCGTCTGTGATCCCAGCGGCTGTGAGGTGGAGATAGCACAGGGGAAAGTTTAGGAGACCCCATCTCGTCAAACAAGGTGAGCATGGCGGCGTGGTGACTCGCCTCTGTAACCCCAGCAGTGTGCGAGGCTCACACAGGAGGATCAGGGTGCAAGACCAGGCTACGCATAACAGGTCCTCACCGAGAACTCAGGAAAGCCCAAGCCGGGGTGCTCTGCACGGCCGGCTTCCGTGGGGCGGTCTGGATGTGTCTGCCTGCCTGAGCCACCATGGCAGATAACACAGCGAGTTCATGTGAGCCCCATTTAATTAGCAGCTTCCAAACGCGGGACTCACACTGCGGCTGCCTCCGGCTGCCGCTGGCATTGCTGCTCTATGCATACAACCGCGGGCCTGCGGCTTGGTTTAAACCAGACTTGGCTTCCACCACCTAGGACGTTCACACGCAGGGACGGCTCCTTCTCAGGGGCCAGGAGCCACTGGACATCTGTGCACGAAAACAAATCCTACATGGCTAGCTTGTCCTCTAAGCATGTACAGAAGAGCTCAAGAAAAGTAGCTTCAGATCCATGCACCATTGTAGTTACAAAGATGGGTAAGTACAGCTGTCTTGAAAACTTACTCATGCATCACATGAAAGCTATATTATTTAGAATAAACATACCTCATTTGGATGAGCAGAATGATTTCCTGAAAACAGACACATGCAATAAATACACTCAGGGCTGGGAAGGTGGCTCAGTGGTAGAGCACTTGCCTTGCATGCTTGAGGCCCTGGGTTCGATTCCTCAGCACCACATAAGTAAAAAGCCGGAAGTGGCACTGTGGCTCAAGTGGTAGAGTGCTAGCCTTGAGCTGAAGAGCTGAGGGACAGCGCCCAGGCCCAGAGTTCAGGCCCCACGACTGGACCCAAAAAAATAAAAAAAAAAAAAAAAAAAATACACTCAGTGCCAACCCCTGGGTGATGGAATTACAAATGGTTGCCGAGTTTTTCTCCGTACTTGTATACGCTCAAGATGGGAGCAAGTATTTTAAGGCCCTGCAGGATGGCTGGGGGCTGGGGTGCCTCACCCTTCCTCATGCAGTTCATATGGCAGGCAGAGAGTTCTCTGCTTAAACACAGAAGATGAGTTGCTCATGAGAGTGTGGACCCAAATTCACAGGTCACTTGCAGATCTCGTGGGTCAAAAATGTCCAATCACTTCACAACCTACCATAGCTAAACAGGAAGCAGGAGAAGAGGAATAGAACAACCAAATTAAAGATGCAGAGCTAAAAGTAGAATAAACAAAACATAGAACTCATGGATAAGCCATATAGCAGACAAGACACAGCCAGAGAGAGGATTGGGGGACTGGAAGTTCTGATCAGAAGAAAATAGTAAGAATGAAGTACATGAAGAGACAGAGAACGTGGCGCACCTTCAGAAACACCTTCAGAAACAGCGCAAAGCAAGGAGACCACTCACGGTTTGATTTGGAATGGGAGAAGCAGAAATAGCACCAAAGATGATAAAGGAGAGGAACTCAAAGTGCTGAAATGGGTCAGGAAGTCGTACTGATGCCCATGAGAAAACCAGTAGCCCCTAGAACTCTGTATCTAGTACAGGTATCTTTCAGGAATCAAATTTGCCATGAAATAAATACAACAGCCCATAAGCAGAGGTAACTACCTCTCCATCCAGTGACTACGAGGACCAATTTCATGAGGTTTTAAAGCACTGGAATGAGATGGCAGGGCAGGATGTGCTGGCACAGGCCTAAATCCCAGCAACCGAGAGGCAGAGATGGAGGGATCATGGTTCTAACCATCTAGCCCAGGCAAAAATGAAGTCAGTGAGCTCCTATCCCAGAAAAAGAAGCCGGCCTGTAGCATGCCGCATTGAGCTGAAACCCATTTGCACAACTACTTAAATATAACTGTAACACTTATCCTAATAAATATACTTTCAAGCATAACTTCCAGTAAAGAAGGAATTTAGCTAAGGTCACATGTACTCTGAACTGATCTGGAATACATGGGCGTCCTGCTGCTGAGTAGTTTATGTCTTTTAAAAAAAAAAAAAACATTTACTAGCTCACATTTCTGTGTGCCAGGACTCTGGGCAGGGCCTGGCTTTGCCCTTTGCCCTTGGTCCTTGGTCCTTGGTCTCAGACTCCAGGTGCGGGCCAGGGTGCTTTCATCTGAGCACAAAGTCCTCACCTGTGTTCCCTGGATGCTGAAAGGATTCCTTTTCCCCTGGCTCCTATCCACCACAGACAACAACATACAAACTGGGAAAACTCATGAGTCCGGCCAAAGACAAAAAGAAATACATGGCCTTAGAAATATATACCTGAAAACAAACAAAAAAAAACTAGAAAATCAATAGACCAGATATCTGTGCAAGTCTATTCCAAACCAAAAAGCAGAACAAGAAAACAGAAGGGAAAAGATCATATGAAAATGCAATTGAATGTAACAGAACGTATCCAACCCTGGGCAGAGAGGAAGACCCACACTCTAAGAAGAAGCAAAGTCACGCACGAGAGCCAGGGGGCCTGGGGCACCCACGTCAGGGCAGCCAGGCCCAGGGCTGGTATCAGCCACCTGGTCGCCAGGGCAACCGCCAGGCAGCACCCCCTCCCCCGCCATCCTCTGAGCCTCCTCCTCCTCCAGCAGGAGTCTGAGGAGGGCTCCGGATCATCCTCACACAGAGATCGTGCGAGCAGGGCCCGGTGGCTTCCCCATCGTGAGTCTGAACTCAGCCCTCAGCTTCCGGCTCTGGCAGAACACAGGAGCAACAGTGCCCAGCCCTGAGCGGACGGAGCAGGGCCCCCTCTCCCACAGACCCACACAAACATGCCCAAAGAGGGAAGTCCTGGCGTGAGCCCCGCCTGCCGGTGCGGAGCGTGTGCATCTGCCAGGGCACGCTTCACGGGGGAAGAGGCCCCGTCAGAGCGCCCCGGCACGCCATGCCCTCTTTGTGCCCAGCAGAAGCCAGAGAGAAAACTCCATGCCGCCGTCCTCCACCCATCTGACAACAGGCTACGCATGCTCCGGGGCTGGGAGCGGCTTCTCTGTGCGGGGAGCGGGCATGCCCGTCCAGCCGTGAGCTCTCCCAGGGCACGAAACAGGTGCCCACGTTTCCACGTGATTCTGTGCTTTCCACTTCGCTCACTTCTCTGCGTGCAGCATTTTCTTCCACCTAAAAAAGCAAAAGCCACGTGGAGGAAAGCACGCGCTGCTGGATGGCAGGTGCTCTGGGAACGGAACCGCCTGCTGGCTCGGCCCCTAACCTAGGCTGACGGGCAGGGTCGGGGAGACCTGGGACCACCGCTGAGAAGGTGCCTTTTGGTGATCCAAATTTTGGTAGGATTTGTGCTTTCCTCACACACATTAATCATGTTCTACAGTCTCCCCACTCTTGTATCTGACATGCCCACAAACTTGTCAGAGCACTTGCTTCTTACTCTCATTGATACAATTACAATAGCAGCCTGGGTAGCATTAGCACCATGAGGAGAAGACCATCAGAACCAGTATCCCCATATCTGGGAAGCCTGGTGTTCTAATGCCATTCCTTAGCATTCCTGATCAGTTCCAGTTCACCTTGCCTAAATTACCAATTTTCCAAGCAATAGGAAACTGAAATACAACTGATATCAGAAGTGTCCAGGAGCCTGGCCCAGCTGTGCCCGACTGCCCAGCCCGCCAGAAGCCCTGGCCCAGCTGTGGCCCCACTGCCCAGCCCGCCAGAAGCCCTGGCCCAGCTGTGCCCGACTGCCCAGCCTGCCAGAAGCCCTGGCCCAGCTGTGCCCCGACTGCCCAGCCCTCCAGAAGCCCTGGCCCAGCTGTGCCCTACTGTCCAGACCACCAGAAGCCCTGGCCCAGCTGCGCCCCCACTGCCCAGCCCACCAGAAGCCCTGGTCCAGCTGATCCCCGACTGCCCAGCCCGCCAGAAGCCCTGGCCCAGATGTGCCCGACTTCCCAGCCCACCAAAAACCCTGGCCCAGCTGCGCCCCCACTGCCCAGCCCACCAGAAGCCCTGGCCCAGCTGTGCCCCCACTGCCCAGCCCACCAGAAGCCCTGGCCTAGCTGCACCCCCACTGCCCAGCCCGCCAGAAGCCCTGGCCCAGCTGCGCCCTGACTGCCCAGCCCGCCAGAAGCCCTGGTCCAGATGTGCCCGACTTCCCAGCCCACCAGAAACCCTGGCCCAGCTGCGCCCCCACTGCCCAGCCCGCCAAAGCCCTGGCCCAGCTGTGCCCGACTGCCCAGCCTGCCAGAAGCCCTGGCCCAGCTGTGCCCGACTGCCCAGCCCGCCAGAAGCCCGGCTGATGAAGGGTATGGCTGCGGCCCTTCAGGTGTCCCCCAGCCAGAAGGGCCCCTGTGGAGGGAGCCCACCAGGGACCTCAGACAACCACAGGGAGCCAGGTGAAGGGAGCAGCCCAGGGAGCCCTTCCGGAAGCCCCAGTCAGACAGACGCGGGGCCACCCCTGCCTGTCACTTCAGTGGAGGGGGCCAGAGAGGGCTGTGCAAATGTCCAGGACGTGTGTTCCAAGACCGTGCACACCTGAGGCATCCCCAGATCCGAGGATGCCAGGGTACATCAGGGAGCCAGCTGGCACGCTGCTCAGACCAGCCGAACCCCAAAGCTGGGGCCCTGAGCCTGGACATGCACCTGTGCCACACTGGCCTAAGGAGACGCCCTCTGACCTCTGTGCACACCTGTCTCACACCAGGATGGAGAGATGCCCTCTGACCTCTGTGCACACCTGTCCACACCAGGATGGAGAGACGCCCTCTGACCTCTGTGCACACCTGTCCCACACCAGGATGGAGAGACGCCCTCTGACCTCTGTGCACACCTGTCCCACACCAGGATGGAGAGACGCCCTCTGACCTCTGTGCACACCTGTCCCACACCAGGATGAGGAGACGCCCTCTGACCTCTGTGCACACCTGTCCCATACCAGGATGCAGAGACACCCTCTGACCTCTGTGCACACCTGTCCCACGCCAAGATGGGGAGATGCCCTCTGACCTCTGTGCATATCTGTCTCACACCAGGATAAGGAGACACCCTCTGACCTCTGTGCACACCTGTCCCACACCAGGATGCAGAGACGCCCTCTGACCTCTGTGCACACCTGTCTCACACCAGGATGGAGAGACGCCCTCTGACCTCTGTGCACACCTGTCCCACACCAGGATGGAGAGACGCCCTCTGACCTCTGTGCACACCTGTCTCACACCAGGATGAGGAGATGCCCTCTGACCTCTGTGCACACCTGTCCCACACCAGGATGGAGAGATGCCCTCTGACCTCTGTGCACACCTGTCCCATACCAGGATGGAGAGACGCCCTCTGACCTCTGTGCACACCTGTCCCACACCAGGATGGAGAGATGCCCTCTGACCTCTGTGCACACCTGTGCACACTTTATTCTCCTCATGGCTTCTGACCAAACATTCATCCTCACCTGACTTCTCAGGACATTTTGGTCAAGGACTTTGTGCTTCTCAAAGGAGACATTACTTTTAGACAATCAGAGAGTAGGAAGAAAGAAAGAAAGAAAGAAAGAAAGAAAGAAAGAAAGAAAGAAAGAAAGAAAGAAAGAAAGAAAGAAAGAAAGAAAGAAAGAAAGAAAGAAAGGAAAGACCAGAATGACCCTGGAGGAAAGGTCACAGTGACCACCCTGTTTCCGAATGTTTTATTATCTCAAAGCAGCTAGTTCAACTTCAAGACTTCATAACCCAACCTTATTCACGAATGTCCATCCACTCAGAAATGAATCGCGTGTGATCTACGCATTGGGCGGAATATTTGCTCCACACCAAGGAAATAATGGAGTGTGTCTCCATGTAGATGAGACTCAAAAGCGTTGTTGTGGTGAAAGAAGCTCTTCAGCAGCCACGTGTGGTGCGTGACTGCGTGTGAAGTGCAGAACAAGCAAATCTGCAGACAGAAAGCGGAGGCGGGTGGCCAGGGAGCCCGGGGAAGGGGACGCGAGACCAGCGGTGTGAGGGGTCACTTTAGAATGGTCGGAATGTTCTAAACTTGACAATAGATGGCATAAATCTGTGGTCTTATGGAAACCATGGGGCTGTACCTTTCAATGCGTCAACTGTCTGGTGTGTGAGTTTTATCTCAGTGAAGCTGTATAGAAACAAGCAAGACTCCCAATGCCTTTCCTTTCCAGCCTGGGTGGTGTGAGTGTTATCAACCCATCTGGAACTGAAGTGCCCTGTCTGGGGTGTTTGGCAAATTTTTCTCATGTGTTATACAGCTGACTTGAACGGTAGGAGCGGGTGCCGGAAAGAGGGAGGGGCCAGACCATCACCCAGGGGTGAACACTGCAAATTATCAACAGGACGGTTCAGTGAAGCGGGTAATAGACTGGTCTGTGCAAACAAGAACTCTTTGTGGGAATATGTGTACGTGCAGTCTTTAGTCTGCTGGCTAATTTGGCTACTGTAAACTGTACTGAGAGGGCTCCCAAGAGCGCTGGGGGTCAGGGGACATGGGGCTGGGGAGATCCACCAAGACACTTGGGCCTAGCAGCAGTGATGGGCACAGTCCCACAGCCCAGCCACCTTAGAGCCAGGGCTGCGTGGCCATTTCCAGCTGAGAGCCAGGGCTGCGTGGCCATTTTCACCTGAGAGCCAGGGCTGCGTGGCCATTTCCACCTGAGAGCCAGGGCTGCGTGGCCATTTTCACCTGAGAGCCAGGGCTGCGTGGCCATTTCCACCTGAGAGCCAGGGCTGCGTGGCCATTTTCACACGAGCACTGGCATGGTCCTCACTATGTGCCTGGCACACGCATGCACTTGGCTACCCGGTGAGTAAGCCAGGATGATCTGCCATGGCAAGTGTGTCGGGATGATCTGCCGTGGCAAGTGTGTCGGGATGATCTGCCGTGACAAGTGTGCCGGGATGATCTGCCGTGGCAAGTGTGCCGGGATGATCTGCCGTGGCAAGTGTGTCGGGATGATCTGCCATGGCAAGTGTGTCGGGATGATCTGCCGTGGCAGATGAGTGGGCCAGAATGATCTGCCATGTGTGTCAGGACAATCTGCCATGAAGAGTGTGCAGGGATGATCTGCTGTGGTGAGTGTGTCAGAATGAAATGATCTGCCACGTGTGTCAGGATGATCTGCCATGTGTGTGTGTCAGGATGATCTGCGTGTGAGTGTGTCAGGATGATCTGCCATGTGAGTGTGCAGGGATGATATGCTATGGCAAGTGTGTCAGGACGATCTGCTGTGGTATGTGTCAGGATGATCTGCTGTGGTGAGTGTGTCAGGATGATCTGCCATGTGAGTGTGTCAGGATGATCTGCCGTGTGAGTGTGCAGGGATGATCTGCCATGTGAGTGTGTCAGGATGATCTGCCGTGTGAGTGTGTCAGGATGATCTGCCTGTGAGTGTGCAGGGATGATCTGCCGTGTGAGTGTGCAGGGATGATCTTCCATGTGAGTGTGTCAGGATGATCTGCCGTGTGCTTGTGTCAGAATGATCTGCCATGTGAGTGTGCTGGGATGATCTGCTGTGGCAAATGTGTCAGGATGATCTGCTGTGAGAGTGTCAGGATGATCTGCCATGAGAGTGTGTCAGGATGATCTGCCATGAGAGTGTGTCAGGATGATCTGCCATGAGAGTGTGTCAGGATGATCTGCCATGTGCGTGTGTCAGAATGATCTGCTGTGAGAGTGTCAGGATGATCTGCCATGGTGTGTGCAGGGATGCTCTGCCGTGTGAGTGTGTCAGGATGATCTGCCGTGGTGAGTGTGTCAGGATGATCTCCCGTGGCGAGTGTGTCAGGATGATCTCCCGGGGCGAATGTGCAGGGATGATCTCCCATGGTGAGTGTGTCAGGACGATCATCCATGGTGAGTGTGCAGGGATGATCTCCCGTGGTGAGTGTGTCAGGATGATCTCCCGTGGTGAGTGTGTCAGGATGATCTGCCGTGGCGAGTGTGTCAGGATGATCTGCCGTGGTGAGTGTGTCAGGATGATCTGCCGTGGTGAGTGTGTCAGGATGATCTGCCGTGGTGTGTCAGGATGATCTGCCGTGGTGAGTGTGTCAGGATGATCTCCCGTGGTAAGTGTGCAGGGATGATCTGCCATGTGAATGTGTCAGGATGATCTGCCGTGAGAGTGTGTCAGGATGATCTGCCATGTGCGTGTGTCAGAATGATCTGCTGTGAGAGTGTGTCAGGATGATCTGCCATGGTGTGTGCAGGGATGCTCTGCCGTGTGAGTGAGTCAGGATGATCTGCTGTGGTGAGTGTGCAGGGATGATCTCCCGTGCTGAGTGTGTCAGGATGATCTCCCGTGGTGAGTGTGTCAGGATGATCTCCCGTGGTGTGTCAGGATGATCTCCCGTGGTGAGTGTGTCAGGATGATCTGCCATGGTGAGTGTGCAGGGATGCTCTGCCATGTGAGTGAGTCAGGATGATCCGCCGTGGCGAGTGTGCAGGGATGATCTCCCATGGTGAGTGTGTCAGGATGATCTGCTGTGAGAGTGTGTCAGGATGATCTGCCGTGGTGAGTGTGCAGGGATCATCTCCCGTGGTGAGTGTGTCAGGATGATCTGCTGTGAGAGTGTGTCAGGATGATCTGCCGTGGTGAGTGTGTCAGGATGATCTCCCGTGGTGAGTGTGCAGGGATGATCTCCCGTGGTGAGTGTGCAGGGATGATCTGCCATGTGAATGTGTCAGGATGATCTGCCGTGAGTGTGTCAGGATGATCTGCCATGAGAGTGTGTCAGGATGATCTGCTGTGTGCCTGTGTCAGAATGATCTGCTGTGAGTGTGTCAGGATGATCTGCCATGGTTGTGCAGGGATGCTCTGCTGTGTGAGTGTCAGGATGATCCGCCATGGTGAGTGTGTCAGGATGATCTCCCATGGTGAGTGTGCAGGGATGATCTGCCATGGTGAGTGTGTCAGGATGATCTCCCGTGGTGAATGTGTCAGGATGATCCGCCGTGGTCAGTGTGCAGGGATGATCTGCTGTGTGAATGTGTCAGGATGATCTGCCGTGGTGAGTGTGTCAGGATGATCTGCTGTGTGAAGGTGTCAGGATGATCCGCCGTGGCAAGTGTGTCAGGATGATCTCCCATGGTGAGTGTGTCAGGATGATCTCCCGTGGTGAGTGTGTCAGGATGATCTCCCGTGGTCAGTGTGTCAGGATGATCTCCCATGGTGAGTGTGTCAGGATGATCTGCAGTGGTGAGTGTGTCAGGATGATTTGCTGTGCAGTGTGCTGGGCTGACAGCTGGCAGTTGCTCCTCAGTGCCCAACCCTGAAATGCCCAGCGTCTGTGATGGACTGGCAGGTTCTTCCTGGGAGAAGCTCCTTGTGGTGCAGCAGAGCTCCTTCAAGTGGGACTGGCCAAACTCCTCTCTGGGTCCTGACTGGGCTGAATGGAGGAAGGGCTCCGAAAGAGAGGAAAAGGCAGACACACCTGCAGAGCCAGACACACCCACAGAGCCTGACACACCCGCAGAGCCAGACACACCCGCAGAGCCAGACACACCCGCAAAGCCAGACCCACCCGCAGAGCCAGACCCACC